GTAATGGGAGGAGGGGGGGGGCCCAGGCTGGGGGGGGCAATGGGAGGAGGGGGGGGGGCCCAGGCTGGGGGGGGGCAATGGGAGGAGGGGGGGGGATTCCCCAGCCTCATAAGGGGAGAGGGATTCCCGGGAGGGGCGGAGACCCCCCCGGCTGTTCAGGCAGTGGGTGTGAAGAGGAAGTGTTTTGGGGTTGGGGGGTGGGGAGTATAGAAATGAGGGCTTGTCCTGCCCAGGGGGAGGCCTGGGGTGGGGGATGGGTGCAGGGGGTCCTGATTGTATCTCTGGGGGTAGGGTGAATAGTGGGGGGGAGGGGGCCTCAAGGGGTTTGGGGGGGAGCAGCCCAGCGGGGCGAGGCTGGTGGGAACAATGGCCGGGGACCGTAGCGGGCGCTGTCTGGTTCTCAATAACCTTGTCTAACACCCCCTCCCCCCATCTCCTTCCAGATCTAGAGACAATGGCCCCGAGGGAATGGACCCCGATGGCATCATTGAGGTGGGCAGGGGCTGGTGGTGGTGGGGGGGTGTCGGGCAGGTTTGGGGGGGGGCAGCTGTGAGGTGCGAGGGCTTGGATGGGCTCATGGGAGAGTGGAAGGGATGGGGCATGTGTGGGGAGCAGTGGGGGTGGCTGTGGCAGGGGCTCTCAGGTGCAGGGACGGGGGTGGCATCCACAGGGGGGAGCTGTAGGGAGGAGAGAGCTAATGCAGTGTCACAAGATGTTGGCGTACCCAGCGATGACTTTCGGACGCAATAAATTAAAGCAGCAGGCTGAGAAGAGGTTTGTAGGGGGGGGGGGGAGAGATCAAGACAGGAGTCTCAAGGGGCTGCAGAGGAAATACAAGGGGGGGGCCTCATTGGGGGGTGTTAACCCTCCCCCCCTTTCAGAGCAACTGGAATGAGATCGTTGACAGCTTTGACGACATGAACCTGTCGGAGTCGCTCCTGCGGGGAATCTACGCCTATGGGTTTGAGAAGCCCTCCGCCATCCAGCAGCGAGCCATTCTTCCTTGTATCAAGGGTGAGTCAGCCCCCGGGGAGGGGGGGATAGATCCTGGCAGGGTGGGTGGGGTGGCGGACTCTTCCCCCCCCTCCCCTGCTAATGGGCAAAGAGGTGTCCAGTTGGTGACGCGGCTCTTGAATCTAGCAGGGGGAGAGAGACCAGCCCTTGTTCATCCCAGCGCAGGATCCCGGGCGGTGGCTGTCGCTGGTTCATGCTGGGGGCACACTGCTATCGGGGCTTCTCAAGATGCGGCCACCTCTGGGGCGGGGCGGCTGGTTACCTGGGAACCCCTCGCCCGGCGCTGAGATGCGGCCACCTCTGGGGCGGGGCGGCTGACCGGTGACGTCTCGTCTCCCCCAGGTTACGATGTCATTGCACAAGCTCAGTCTGGTACTGGGAAGACGGCCACCTTCGCCATTTCTATCCTCCAGCAGATCGAGCTGGACCTCAAGGCGACCCAGGCCTTGGTGCTGGCTCCAACCCGAGAGTTGGCCCAGCAGGTGAGTTGTCGGGGCGCCAGGACAATGCCCCACCCCCTCGTTTAAAGCGGTGACTCGGCCCGGTAAAGATCCCTGCCCGGCTCTTTTCTTAACTGAGACATTAAAGGTGATGGAGCCAGGACTCCTGGGCTCTCAGCCTCCCCATGTGGTGGGGTTTTTTGTTTGTTTTTGTTTTTTCTTCCCCGTGGTGTAAGAAGGTGGTTGCTTGGCAGGGATCAGCCCCACTTCCTCCCTTGCTACCTGGGCAAAGAGGCGTCTGATTGGTGGCGCAGCTCTTCAATCTAGCAGGGGGAGAGAGACCAGCCCTTGTTCATCCCAGCGCAGGATCCCGGGCGGTGGCTGTCGCTGGTTCATGCTGGGGGCACACGGCTATCGGGGCTTCTCAAGATGCGGCCACCTCTCGGGCAGAGTGGCTGGTTACCCAGGGACCCCTTGCCTGGAGCTGAGATGCACCAACCTCTGGGGCAGGGGCGGCCAGTTATAAGGGGATCTTCCTCGCTGCAGATCCAGAAGGTCGTGATGGCCCTCGGGGACTACATGGGGGCCTCGTGCCACGCTTGTATTGGGGGCACCAATGTCCGGGCTGAGGTGCAGAAGCTGCAGATGGAAGCACCCCATATCATTGTGGGGACTCCGGGCCGTGTCTTCGACATGTTGAACAGGAGATACCTGTGTAAGTTTTGGGGGCGGGGCAGTCCCCTCTCTGGGCGCCCCCTGGGCGGGTGGGGGGTGGACCTGCCCTGTGTCTGTTCGCTGATGATTCCCCATGCGTGTCAGCTGATCCCAGTGCCGCCTGGTGCCCCCTGCTAGGCGTTCTGCCATCCGGGCCTGGCACAGGGGCTTCTGGGTGTGATCAGAGCTCTCCCGACTGAGAACAGCTTCTAGCTTTATCCCTTGTGGCCGACTACTCCCTCGCTCGGGCTCACGGCCGCCTCTCCCCGCAGCTCCCAAATTCATTAAGATGTTCGTGCTGGACGAAGCTGACGAGATGTTGAGCCGGGGCTTCAAGGATCAGATTTACGACATATTCCAGAAGCTGAGCGGGAACACCCAGGTGGGCCTGGAATCCGGGCGGACCAAGAACTGGTGTCTGGGAGGAGCTGGATCCAGAACTCGGGGGGGGGAGGGGCATCATCCAGGCTTTGGGCTCACTGGAGGAGACACCCATAATTGAGGGGGAGGAGGATGGGGAGCCTAGAACTGGTTGGAGGGGGGGTTAAGTATGGGAATCTAGGTTATTAGGGGCAGGGTGTGTCTGGAAGTGGCAAGACCAGATAAAGTGGTAGGACTAGAAGCTAAATTATCTGTGGGGAGTTGAACCCAGCTGCAGGGATCTAGAACCGTGGAGCAGGACTAGACCATAAGGAGCTGGAGTTGTGATGACGGGTCTACACCCAAGGAGCAGTGGAATGAGCCGAGTGGCAGAAGAGGGGCTCTGAACCTAGAGCCAGGGCTGGTCCATGAGGAGTTAAAATTGGCAGTATTGGGGGGGGGGGTCTAGAACCCAAAGGGCAAGTCAATTGTGGGAAGGGTCGGGCAGGGATTTAGAATCCAGGGGCTAGTTGGTGGGGAGCTGGAGCCACCAGTGGAGGGTCTAGGACCCAGGGGGAGATGCTATACCTGTGAGAGCAGAGGGGATCTCTGGGTGGGGCAGGCTGGCAGCACCGCCTCTCACTGCCCCTCGCCCACCCCAGGTGGTGCTCCTGTCGGCCACGATGCCCATGGATGTGCTGGAGGTGACGAAGAAGTTCATGCGGGACCCGATCCGCATCCTGGTGAAGAAGGAGGAGCTGACCCTGGAGGGCATCCGGCAGTTCTACATCAATGTCGAGAGAGAGGTGAGGGGGTTGAGAGCCAGGATTCCTGGGTTCCTTTCCCACCCCAGCCACATGATCCAGGATTTATGGAGGGGTCCCTCCATGGCATCTCCATAGTGTACCCCATGCAAGAGCGATCAGCCCCCCTGAACCATGGCCACCCCAATGTCTCTGGGTCCTGGTCCCTAAAATGGGGGGGACACTGTAGTTCTGGGTTATTGCTGTCTTGGGAGCAGGGGAGCTCTGACCACTGGGGTGGAGTCTGGAGGCCCCGGTGGAGTGGGGAGCTGACTTTCCAGGAGTCCCCCACATGGGTGGGGTAGGGGGGCTGTCAGCCCTAGCCCTCACCCCCACTGGTCTTGTCCCTCCCTCCCCCCTCCGCCCAGGAGTGGAAGCTGGACACGCTCTGTGATCTCTACGAGACCCTGACCATCACCCAAGCCGTGATCTTCATCAACACCCGCCGGAAGGTGGACTGGCTCACGGAAAAGATGCATGCCCGGGACTTCACCGTCTCTGCCATGGTATGGGGGGCGGGGAGGAGCCAGGATGACTGGGTTCTCTACCCGGCTCTGGGAGGGGAGTGGGGCCTGGTGGGTTAGAGCGGGGGATGCTTGGAGCCAGGACACCTGGGTCCCACTCCAGCTGCATGGCTGTGGATTTATGGTGGGGTCCCCCATGGCCCCTCCATAGTGTACTCCATGCAAAAGCAGTTGGCCCCCCTGAACCATGGCCGCCCTAGTGCCTGTGGGTTGCGGTCCCTGAAATGGGGGGCACAGCTGTTCTTGGGGTCCCACAATTGTGTGTGCCAGGTTGAGTGCAGTTGTGGGAGTTGAGAGCCAGGACTCCTGGGTTCTGTCCCTTCCCCCTTCAGTGGCTGCTGGAAGGGGCAGGATTCTCCAGGACGGGGTTGCCCCAGAGATCTGGGGCGGGGGGGTACAGCATGAGACACCCCCCCCCCCCTGCTAATGACCCTCTTTCTCCACCCCCCAGCACGGAGATATGGACCAAAAGGAGCGTGACGTGATCATGCGTGAATTTCGCTCTGGCTCCAGCCGGGTCCTCATCACCACCGACCTGCTGGTGAGGAGACTTGGGGG